GGTATAACATCCATTATATATACTAATGTACGACGCTTTTGGGAATGATATTGAGGAGCAGCCACATCAATATTGGAATTGGAGGGCCTTTAGGAAGATGTTTCCGCATGCAGACCCTAGTAAGTTCGAAAGAAGGTCCGATGGGATTTACTATAAAGGCTCCAGGATGTATAGCAATGCGGACTTGGAACATTCAAAGCTGGAGCAAGTAGGTGATCAGGTGCAGCAATTGACGATTGTACACTCCCCAGCACCTATACCCGTTCATAAAGAAAGACCACCAAAACCCAAGCATAAAGAAGTACAACCCAAGTTTCCGAAGAATTTACTAATGACCAAGGAAGATTACCCATTTTACGATGCTGAAGGTGGCGTAAATGACTTCGATAAGCTGGTAACGCATCTGAAGATTTCAGTGGGTAAGGAATCATTTGATGTGGTGACAAGGAATGTTTTCAAAGAGACGATGCTAAAGCATACGTCAGTTAAGGAGACCAGGGAATGGTTAGCAGGACCCAACATGCGATATTGGCCACAGCAGTTAAACTTTGCTATTTGGGCGGCCACTAAGGGTTGTGGGGTTGATGTAGATATGTTTCACATTTCGCTTATGCAGTTTCACGTTGCTTGTACGATAAGGAGGTTGCTGAAGGAGCTTAAGGTGCCACTACCAGGAGATAAGGCATTCAATCCAATGAATAATAGTTACGACTACGCAGCCTTGGAGAGGTTAAATAATGAGTTTAAGCCTCAGCGAAAAGATTTTCGTTATAGGGAAGGTAAAACGCATGGGTTGGGTATAGTGTACGTATGGGGTGTTAATGGTGAGAAGCCAGCCGACTATGGACATCAGGAATATCCAAGTGATGAGTTGGAGTTTAGCGACATGGGTGGTGATAAAGGTAATAATTCATTGATTACCAGGATTCAAACTAACTACCCAGGTACCTGGGATCCATTCGTGTTAATGAAAGGAAAAGGTTTAAGGAATCAGGAAAGGATTAACCGAAGCATCGAAGCATTCGTTTACTGCATTTTAGGGTCTCAGGTTGGTACCAGAAGTCCAATTGTTGGTGGTAAGGCCGGCTCGAAGCAAACGCAACAAGCATTTTTGACACTGTTTGAGTCGGCAGTAATAGGGAATGATATAATTGAGTCGAAGAATAGGTTTAGAGAGGCGGTAAAAAATTCTAAAGTAAAGATGGACTACGCCTTATCACCCGGCTGTTGGTTGATGCCAAGTGATTTAGTTATTAACCGCAATTCCGTTGTGGGATACAATAATAAGGTTAAAGCGGCTACGGCAGACATGAAATTTGGTGTGAACGACGTGAACTTTGATACCACCAAGGGTATTCCTCACTTCGTAGAGAAACCAAAGAAGGTACATGAAACCACGCCACCGCTTAAGAAAGCACCCAAGCCGCCACCAAAGAAGGAAGAACCCGTACCAAAGAAAGAGGAGGAGGAATATGACCATGATTTACTAAAGGCTGGCCTAGTAGTCGCGAGCGTTGGTCTGGGCTATTATATATGGCGATGAACAACCCCTACGTAGCTGGAGTAGATTGTGTCTATACGACTTACACAGGCGAGAAAAAATACACCCAGGCATCTTGGGTTGATGTCACCGGCATGTCTGTAGACTTGAACTACTCAGGGAAGAAGTTGATCCTTTGTAGTATTTGCATTGGTACGAGCAGCCATGCCAACGT